AACATATTAGAAACTTGCGCTTTCTCTTTTCTTTCTTTTCCATTTAACCAGACTGGGTCACAGCAACGCGTGGCGGGATACAGCTAGTATTAAATAAACCTCATCTTTTCTTAATCTCCAGCTTTTAGGTGCCACGGCAATAGAAGACAAGTTACAAGATGGAGTGCCAGAAACCATCTCCAAATTGGCAAAAGCAGATATTAAGATCTGGGTTTTGACAGGTGACAAAAAAGGTAATTTATATAATCAGTTGCTGTTTATTTTCCCCAAGGTAAACTACCTATGGGCAGCAAATAATCCTAAAGTTTCTTTTTTTTAAAATTGATGACTGAACATATTCACCTGCATGCATGGGGGAAAATGAGAAGATAAACTTGGCCTTCTCCTCTTACAGAAACTGCTGAAAATATTGGTTTTTCCTGTGAACTCTTAACAGATGAAACTAATATCCACTATGGAGAAGACATCAGGTAAATTCTTTTTAATGCAAGAGATTACATTAAGAGTGATCTGAATGATTTGATTCTAGTAAGTGCTTTGGAGACCCCAGGGCACAAACATAGAACCCCTGTGCATTTGCTGCAAATGTGCAGCAGCTTTGAGAAGTGGCAGATGCATGCTGTATCTTTGTATCTCTAAATATGCTCCCAGAATTAAAAGCCAAAATAGCCAGAGGCAGTTTAGATGAGACAAATAGCTGGTTGAACATTCTCAAAGTTGAAGGAAGCAGTCTGGGGCGGGGGGTCTCCAACCTTGGCAGCTTTAAGACTTATGGACTTCAACTCCTAGAGTTCCTCAGCCAGCTGGGCGAATGGTAGCATTTTTTTACTACTGATTCAGATGAACCAGCCCGAACCAGTAGCATTTCACCCCTGGTGCAGTACCAGAATAATATATGAGGTTGTGCTATTCTGATTTGTGTACTACAAATGGATCTTGAATGTGGAATTTTGCATTTTAGTCTTTCTTTTCCTACTTTCCATGGCAAATATACTTTTCAAAGTTTTAAAGAAGAAGTTGCTCATTCACTGTGGGATGAGAAAGAGGGTAGGTAGACTTATCACCTCCCCTCCTGCTGTTTCTCTGAATCAACTGAGCTGTTCATTGTTGTTATGAACCACAAGATGGTGTGCCGTCTCTGGAAGTTCTTGTTTGGGTGGATAACATTTTATGATGAAATCCAGCGATTACACAATTAAGGAATTTACTCACCTTGTAACTATCAAAATAGAGTAGGAAAACGGCAGTGCCCTCTGAAATATGTTGCATGCCTTAAACTGCAAAAAGCCATTTGCTAAATCCTCATGGTTAAGGATTTTAAAAAAACATACTTAATTCTGTTTTCAGTCACCATGACTTGATGGTTTTTTTTACACGATGAATTTCTAAAATCCTTCCCCACCCTTACCTCTCTTCCCTTAGCGCTCTTTTGCAAACAAGATTGGAGAACCAGAGGAACCAAATCGGGACATATGACAAATCTTCCAGCAGAGCCAATGAACCCTTTTTCGAGGAAGGCAAAAACCAAGCATTAATTATCACTGGATCATGGTTGGTAAGTGCTGGATTCTCACATCTGGGTCTGAGAGAATTGTCCCCAACCATTAATAATGGAAAAAGAAAAGGGTTTTCAACTTGGCACCATCAAGATGTGTTGAGTGCTGACCGTTTTGAGAAACGAGGGATTTTAAGATCTGAAATTCCTTAGAACTAAGGAGAAATTTCCTGACAGTTTGAACAATTAATCAGTGGAACAACTTGCCTCCAGAAGTTGTGAATGCTCCAACACTGGAAGTTTTCATGATGTTTTAGTTATCTTTGGATTGTCATCTCTCATAATGCTCATAACTGGTCTGTAGCTGGGTTTATAGAACACTTCTTTGACTAGGAAAGTTTTAAAAGAAAGAATTAATGTGATTATTGGGCCAATATTGTTTTGTTCCAAACCCACGTTCTCTTGAACTCAGTTTTGGTTATTTTTAAAGGGCATTTTTTTTTACTAATAATAGATATCTGTCCTTTTGCCATGGTTAATTTTTCTCATGCCTTTGCATCATGTGTACCTCTGAGATGGACAGATAAGAAATACATTTCCATATCCATCCATCCATCCACCATCCATCCATCCACCATCCATCCATCCATCCATCCATCCATCCATCCATCCATCCATCNCCACAGTCTGGGTCCTCATTTCACCCACCTCGGAAGGGTGAGTCAACCTTGAGCCGGTGAGATTTGAACCGCTGAACTGCAGATAACAGTCAGCTGAAGTGGTCTGCAGTACTGCACCCTAACCACTGCGCCACCTCCGCTCTGCAAGGTAGTCTAGACAGGAAGCATGCCTAGTGAACCAATTTTACTTTATTATAAGGTTACATTAACAGAATCTTGCAAGTCTAAAATTAGATTTCACCCCATCACCTTTACAACCCAAGAACCTAGGGAGGTCTCTTCTTTTGCTATGCCCATACTCCTTTTGTGGGCTACGCTGCCTTTTATCCAACCATTCTCCTAACTGTGGCTCTTTCCCCTATTTTCTAAGGTCATTCCCACATACCGCTATGCTGCTTCCATATAATATCTTCTGGATACCTATAGAGAAATTAAAGGAAATGAATATAATTAACATTTTCTGCCCACAAATTGTTAGTGCCCTTTGCAGTGTTACTTTGCAAAGTAATTTTTTTGCTGATTGGTTCACCAATCTCTCCAAAGTTTTTGAAACGCACCATCTAATCAGTCACTTTCCAGAGTGAGATGGATAGCATAAAAAGTTAATGAATCTATCAATAAATCAGCTCTCCACTCCAGAATAACAATTGCCTCATCTCCAGCTGCAAACTATGCAAAAAGGAAATAAATTATCTTTTCTCCACATTGGTCCTCTAATAAAAAAGGATCAACAAGTATCTGATCAATATTATCCCAACTCCCTTCACTTACAGGCTACTATGGAGAACAATTGCCATGATCTGAAAGAGTCAAAACAGCCCAGCTCAATCCAGCTTGCATTTTAAAGTGGACTCAGTGAGGTGGTGTACATTTGCACAATTTATGCAAAAATAAATCTGGGTGTTATAAAGTGTTGTTGTTGGTCTCTGCAAAGCTGTCAAGCCACAATTCCCCTTAAAGGACCGGTAAACAGAATACCTGAAGTCCTGGAGCAGAATGAAGGAAGAATATTTGCCTATGGAAAAACAGCCTCCCAAACTCTGAAGAGCTTCATTATTTGGAAACTGAAAAGTCATTCTTCTTGCAGCTCAGCTAGAAAATAATTGGTTCACTTAATGATGATAGTAAAGAAGTTCTGGAAATGATTCTGGAGTGTTGCAAAGATTACTGTGTGGCAATGCTTGAGTAGAAGACTTGCATGTATTTTCTGTAAAATATATCTGTTTTTTTAATAACTTAGCTTCAGTAAAGAAATGGTTCCTTTTTCAATTCTTTCTGTTTGCGTTTGTAGCAAGAGATCCCAATGGGACCATCAAACTTTATTGCAAAGGAGCTGATACAGTGATGTTTGAACGGCTGCATCCAAGAAATCCTAACAAACAGGATACCGAAGATGCGTTGAATGTAAGTTGGAATATCTTACCAGGATAACTATTAAAACTAGCTATGAACTGAAAATTGTTTCAGTGTACAATAGCATTTTTCTGAGACAATATTAAAAGTCAGGCCCCTGAAGACAATGGATTTTTCTTCTACCAACATGAAATTGCAATGTTTTGATAAGTTTCTTGTTCTTACTTTTTTTATTGTAGTTGTTGTTGTCGATTTTATACCATAGGTCCAGACTAAACATCATTAATATATTTTTTTAATTTTTCATAGTTGTTTAGCCTGTACATGCCTCCATTGTTTTCCATTTAGAAAGTATCCAGTATTAATACAAATGAAAATGTCTGACTTTCTTACTTACCTCATGGCATGACTACTGTAATACCCTCTATCTAGGAGCGCCCTTAACCTAGAAGCTTCATTTGGTCCACCAGGATGCAGTGGCACAAGCAGTAATAGATGTGCCTTGGTATGTCGTTCTAACAAACGGCATCACTATTTGGCAGCAGTGCCTCAGATAGAAAGTCCATACAGAGAATGGTAAAGACAGCCGAGAAGATTAAAGAAAAGCTCGCTTCCTGTTATTCAAGATACTGCTTATAAGCACTATGTGTTTAAAGCTCAAAGCATTGTTACAAACCCCACACACCCACTTTGTAGTCTGTTTCTGTTGCTTCCCTCTGGGGGGGAGGTTTCAAAGTATTTCTAGCAGGACTACCTGATTCTGTAACAGCTTTGTTCCCTATGCTATCCGTCTGGTAAACTCTCAAGCTTTGTTTTTCTCTCCATGTACATGTATAGATCTGAACTAGACTGAGTTGTTCCTCTGTGTCATATAATATATGTGGATATATGGGTAAAGACAGGGTCTTATTTCCTTTTGACCCCCGAAATAAGCACTTCGCCTTATTTTCGGGGAGGTCTTATTATTTGTAGGTACAGGAAGAGGCAAGTGTGGTCACCTCAGGGCTGCTGCTGTGTTGCAATGTTTTCGGGGAGAGCTTATTTTCAGGGGATGGCTTATTTTGGTGCATGCGCTCAAAAGCCCGATTGGCCTTATTATCCAGGGAGGTCTTATTTTTGGAGAAACAAGGAGTATGTGTGGGTGTGTGTAGGGGTGGTGTGTATGTGTATATGTATGTGTATGTCTATGTGTATGTCTATGTGTATGTCTATCTTTTCTTCTGCGCATGTGTGAGGAACATGTCTGCCGAGTTCACTGCTTTCCCATCTGGGAAAACCCGAATCTGAAAGCTTCCTGGTTTTCCCCACCCAGTTGAAAGTTCAAGATCTTGCCCCCA